GGGTCCTTTCCCCCCATTGCCTCCGATTTGCTGGGTCCTTTGTGCCGCCGTGTACATGTGATGGGCCCAACCGTGCAGGAGAAATTCTAATTCTAGAAGCATCCATAATTAATAATGATGGTGTGTTGGCTGATGCAGCAGCATTTGGCGTTCAGAACGGCCTCCTGCCCATGCGGCAGCCTCTCAGGACGGAAAGGCCTTCAAAGGGTTCATTCCGCATCTTGCCTTCACGGACCAGTGGCCTGAAAAGCAATTTAGTTGTGCTCCCGGTGAGGCCTCGGGAAATTCCGGTGGCCACTAGATTCCCGCACGTGGTCCCTCACGGACCTCCTGAGCTTTGCCGTTTGGCATATCGCCCCTGGTCCCGGCCCTCGGCCTTCGGTCACCCCCTGCCCCCCGCCACACACACACACAGGCAACCCTTCTGTGCCGTCTGCTTCCTGCACGGCCCCCGTCAGGATGTGAGCGCCACGATCACGGGGCCCGGGTCTGCTCACCCACCGCTCTGTCCCCAGTGAGTCCTGGACGAAGGATCTGATGAATGAGTGAGTGAGTGAGTGAGTGAGTGAGTGAACGAATGAATGAGCACTTCAACGGCACGCACACGGCCGCCTCGTACCCGCGCACGGGTCCCCACCCTCCGGGCCCACGAGCGACCTGGGAGCCGGTTCCATGCAAGCATCTGGCTCTCCCCCACTCTATCCTCTGCGCTGGGAGTCGGGGCTGGGACCCGGGGATCCGCATTATTCACCAGGCCTTCTGGAGGCTTCCGATCTGATGCCAGGTGAGGGCCTCGCCTAGTCAGCCTCGGGAGGGAGACTCTCTCCAAACAGAAGGGGGTGCGCGACGCTGGGAGGCGGGATCCCGCTCTGCCGCCCGCAGGGCCTCGCTCCCCATCAAGTGCTCACCAGGCTCCAAAGGCAGCAGCGGTCCCCGCCTCCCTCCCTGTGTGCAGCCCCTCCCCGATCAGGATCCAGTGGGGACAGTGAGGACCGGCTCTGCGTCCTTCCCGCTCGACCCGAGGAACCGTGTCTACACTGACGGTTATGATGAGAACATACAAACACCTCCCAGGAAGAGGCTCTCAGTGCCTGCAAGCAGGGGCTGAACTTGCGTTCACCAGGCTGTGTCCTCATCCTAGCGGGGGCGGGGGGGGCAGCGCATCAGGACTGGGCCCCCGAAAGTGCAGACGGGCTGCGGACCCTCCACCTCCACTCTGCTCAGGGTCCGTTCAGAGCAGGCCTGCTGTGCCGTTCCAGCATGAGGCCCGGGGAGGAGATGGGGAAGGTTCCGGGCCCAGGAGGGATGGGTGTGAAGGCCCCAAGGTCAGTGCCAGGGGCCAGCTCAGCTTGGGGGCCAGAGTCCCCGGGAAAGACAACACAGCCAGCTCTCTGCCTGCTGTCTCCTGGCTCAGGGGGTGCACAGAGCAGACGCACAACACACACGTGCACACGTGCACACACAGGACACAGGCACACAGACACGTACACACACGAGCACAGGCGTCCTGGGATGTACCTGCACGTGCATTCACAAGCATGTACACACACGTGCACACAGAGATACTCACTTGCACACACATACAAATGAGCACATGGACAGACACACATACATGGACAGTGCACACACACAGAGACACACGGATATATGAACACATGCGTGCACACACGAGCACACACGTGAGCACACGCACACACACATACACGCACACACACCTGCTGCAGGAAACACCGTCACCCCTGTGCCGTCTGCATAATCCTGTTTGAAAGGACTGCCTCCTCTCACTGACTTGTTCCACACCTGCCACCTGCCACAAGGCTCGGAGAAGCCAGGCCCCTCTGGGTGGGGACGGTCTCTGGTTCCTCTGCAGGAACCCGCCATCGAACATCTGGACAGCTGCAGAGCTCGCCGTCCTGGGCACCTCCGATCCCCTGCCTCTGGGAAGGGGCTCCCCATGGATGCGTGGAGCTCATCAAGTCACATCTCGACGACAGTCAGGAGCCTGCTTTTCCCCAAACTGGAGGATTTGCAGCCATAGGACACGGCCCGTTCATTTCAGAGAGCGGAGGGCTCGGCGGAATGTTCCAGAACCTTCTTGGACGAGGAACTGGGAGCTGCTGATGCTGGCAGTAAGGCTGGACAGGCCGCGAGAGGAACATAGCGACCTCAGGCAGCTCTGGGGACACACGGGCCCATTTACAGTGTGGCCCCCATTAGCTCATCCTTGGCGAAGCCCCAGGCTGTGCTCAGAGCCATCAAAACGTGGGCCAGCCTGTCACTGGTCACTCACTCAGTCAGTCCGTCCACCGGACGGGGGCAATGCCCGATGCGTTTGAATCGGGGTGTGTCGGGAGAGGACGGGCAGGATGGTGTGGAGTGTGGCCCCAGAGTGACGCTGTGTCTGTGGAGCTCTGCCCTCCTGATGCGCGGGGTGAGCCGGAGTGGGTTCGGGGCACAGGGGGACCTGAGACCCCATCCCAGCCGGGCCTGGGTCTGCTGCCTCACGGGGCTCCTTGGGGGGCACTACAGGGCGCCCTCCTGGGAGGGGGCGGCTCGCCTCGGGCCCCACGCAGTCAACCTGCATGTGCACAGTACTCCCTGAACAGACCAACCCCCCACCTCCATCCCGGGGAGGTCAGGGCGGAGGGGCACGTGCAGACATGGACACACGGTGTCCCCAGCACTTGATCCCACGGGCACGGCCACGGCCACCAGCAGCGGGAGCCCCCGGCCATGTTCCCCCGACTGACGCTTCTCCAGCACAGCGGGCCCCTGACTGTGCAGTGGGAGAGCCCCGGGTCACCGTCAGAGGTCTGCGTCTGGGAGGAGGGGCCGGGCCGCTGTGGGGTCCCTGCGGGGCTGGCTCATTCCCAGGGCCCCCTCCGGCCACCGCGGTCTGCTCCCCTCCCGGCGGGGCCCAGTCAGGGACCAGGGGGCGCTCGAGGGGAGGGGCTGCAGCTGGGCCTCCTATGAAAGGCCCTCAGAGAGCCACACAAGGCGGCCTTGTTGGGGACCAGCCTCCCCCAGCCCGGGATCTCCTCCCACGGGGGCAGGAAGGGTGACCAGGGAACGCGGTCGATGGCCCGCGCTGTGTGGGGTCACTGCCGGTCTATTTCTAGCTCCAGCCTCTGGCCGCCAGCATTGGGCCTGAATGACGCTCTTTGCAGCACGGCCCATCCGCCCTGTGGCCCTCGTGGCAGCTGTCCCCTCACTCAGGGCAAAGGTGACAGATGTGGGCATGGGGGGTTGGAGGGCACAGCTGTAACGTGGACGTGGCAGAGGCCTCAGCACCAACGAGGAGGCTCCCTGGGGACCCCGGGGCACAATGCCCTTCCTCTACAACCTTCCGTGGCTCCCCGCTGCCGTGTGGGGAGTCCAAGGCCCTCCTTCCCTGAGGTCGCCCCGTTCATAACCGCCCTCGGTGCCCCCACCTCCTCTGTCCCCTGGGGGAGGCCACGAGCCTCCCAAGGGCAGGGCCGGGGCACCCGGCTCCCCGAACCAGGGCACCTACGACAGGACTCAGCAGAATCCAGGCGCGGCAGCGACAGGCCCAGCTGTGCGCGGGGTGCCGATGACAGTGACACCCGCCCCCAGGCAGGAGGTGGCAGCCACATTCCTTCCCAGCTGGAAAGTGCTGGTCCAGGCACCCGGCCCCTCGGGAGGTGGTGGGGGCGGCGGCCCCGAGGGGCCATGGGTGTGGGGCCGGGAAGGGACTCTGCCTGCAGCCAGTCCGACCCCTCCCGGACCAGCTGGGGGAGGCAGGGCCACTTGGCTTCGCTGGGCCTCAGTCTCCTCGCCTGTGAGATGGGGACGAGAATCCCAGCAGGAGCCTCCGGCACTGCTCTGAGGACGAGGGAGTGAGCACGCGGGGCCCAGTTAGACCGCGCCTGGCACGGGGCGCCCCAGAGCGCCCGCGGCTTCCCCCGGGGTCGGTGATGACGGGGGCACACGTTCTCTCTGCAGACTGAGCCCTCCCGCCGCTCTGAGCCCACGGGGCTCACAGGACCAGCCGGCTGCCGCCTCCCTCGGGGTCCGCGCGGGCTCCAAACCGCCCGGGTTTCAGGTGCGCCTCGCTCAGGGCAGGACTCGGTGCTCACACCACTGGGGGAGCCCCCATCGTGTCGCGGGGCCCCTGCAGACCTGACGCCCAGGGCCGCCTCCTCTGAAGACTGGAGTTGGACGCGGACCCCCTGAGGCCACGGGGTGGGCACCAGCCTTCTCCCCCCAGCCCCACCCGTGCCCGTTCTGAGTGTTGTCTGTGTCCTGTCCCCCCAGGTGTGAGGAGCCCTGAGACGGAGCCTGGTCCACGACCCCTCTGCCCTCCTTCCACATGGTTGTCGACCCGTCCTCGCCACAGGCTGAACGGGCCTCCTCTCCTCCTGACCCCTGCAGGCCCTGAGCTCTGGGGCGCCCCGAGGACCGGCTGCGGGGCCCCTCCCCGGGCCGTGGCCAGTGGTGAGGGGGCCGTGGCTGGGAGCAGCAGGAGCAGCCTCAGGCCCCGGCGTGGTGTCTGTGACGGAGCCGGCTCAGAGCAGCAGGACCTAGTGAGTCACGAGCAACACTCTAAAGGCTCCTAGAGATTTGGGGGACCAGGGGTCCGATGGGGAGCGGGTCCTGATGTCACACAGGTGGGCTAGGGAGCCGGCAGAACGAAACCAGACAGGCCCAAGCACAAAGGGGAAAGTCATGGCAACCTCGGGATGGGGCAGCTTCAGGCACAGCTTGATCCAGTAGCTCAAGGCCTGGCGGCAGGGCCTGACCTCTCAGGATTCCTGTGCCCACATCCCCCCCCCCCGCCCAGGCCAGCATCTCCTCTGTGTGACCTCCACTGAAACGCATTCTGTCCTCTCAGCAGATCCAGCCGCCTGCCACCCCCGAATTCATCCCCCTGGCCATGGGATGGAATGTTCCGGGGGGGAAAGGGCCGGAGTGACATGCCCTCACCTGGGGCTGGGGGCAGAGTCGGCCCCGCCAGACCACAGGGCCAGAGTAGGGGCGAGGGCCCCCAGGTAAACCAGCTGCTGTTCCCTGAAGAGGAAGGACCCGCCTCGCTTGGCTGCCCTCCAGGACCCCCGTGGAGCCGTCACACCGGGTGTCCACATTCCTCTTGGGGACACGGGGCTGCCACCCCCCAGGCCCAGGACGCCCGCAAGCTTTCCCTCCTTGGGAGCCCGCAGGTTCCAAGTGGACCTGATTCCAGGAGAAGGGTGCAAGGACCCCTGCCCCGGGAGGAGGGCTGAGCTCACCTCACGCACCCGCAAGGTCGCCGTCCCGCCACGTCCTGGGCTGCCCGTCCCTTCTGTCCAGGTCACCCTGGGCTGGCCTCTGAGTGACTGCTGAGCTCACCAGGAGCAGCAGGACAGGCACAGCCCAAGGACGCTTGCTAATGAGCGAGACTGGTGGTGATTAGGGGCTGACAGGCAAATGCTGAGGCTCTCCAAGGTGGGGGAGGAAGCAGGCGACCAGAGAGGCTTCTGATGCTGCGCTTCGTCCTGGTAATTAATTGCATGGAAGCTGTTAAAGTTTATGAGGAAAGCGGAGACGATGCAGGTTCGCGGAGTCTCTGGAAGATTCAGTTAATTTATCTGGTTCGGGAAGTGCCAGGGGCTGCTGTTGGAGAGCGTGGAGCAGAGGGGGTCTGGGCTGCCTGCCGCGCGTCGGGGAGGGGCCTCCGGGCTCAGCAGGTGTAGCCCAGGGCAGGTCCAGGCCTCGGTTTCCCCACCGGGAAGGCGGGTGGGTGGGGAGCGAGGACAGCGCCTGCCCTGTGGGTGTCTGTGGGGTTCCTGGAGGAGGTGTCCGGGGAGCATCTGGCAGGGGGCCTGGCCCATCCCCCGCCCCTCGTGTGTCAGCAGAAAGGACCTGGAGATGGGCTGCCCCCAGCCCCCAGTGCGGGTGCTGCCTGTCAGGCGCGGGGCCTTAACCTGGGGGAGCCCCTCCCCCCAGGGCCCTCGTGCTGTGTCTCCAACTACTGACCTGCCCATCCACTGGTCTCCTCCCCATCGCCGTGGAGTATTTTAGTTATAATACAAACACGGCTGTGGGATCTGATGCCCCGGGTAGTGCACACATCGACATTGTAAAATAAAACCGGGACATCACCGTCCTCAGTGCCCCTAGTGAGATTCGAGGTCTC